CAACGCGCGCGCGGTCTCAAGATCTAAGAGGATCGTCGCGCGATATTGTAAGATCGGCCCAGTCGCTGCGGATAACTGCGGGAAGGGACACGCGGTGCTTTATTTTACGAGTTGCGCTTATTTCGGCTCTCGCGGGGGGCTAGCTGAACAGACACATGCACGCGCACACACACACACACATACACACGTGAAAAGTGCGGCGCACACACGTAACCTGTAGACGACGGACTTGTGCACTGACCCACATTGTCGTTGCATAACGGGACGCCTTTCGAAATATTCACAAGTTTAGTGCCTCCAGATACGTCCGCCGATGTCGGCGGCGCTCGTAAAAGGAACCCCCGTGGTCAATGGGGGGAGACACGGACGCGCCTAACGCGTCGTACGCGCACACGTGAAACCGTTTTTCGGTCGGCCGTGTTAACTACGTTGTATAATCGCGGAGAATCTTTTCGTCGATTAACAGCCGAAGATAATTGGATATCGGAGATTCCTCACGGATATAGTATCTGATACGGTGCTCTTGATGCGCCAGTAAAAAATGTTGTGTTAAAAACCGTCCACTGAAATTTTGCGTTATTTTAACACGGGGAATGTGTTAAAAGACACACAAATTTGTGTTAAAAAAGTACACAAATATAATTGTAAATTAATACACTTGTGAACAAGATTGACAAAGTAAATATTTATTTAACATTATATTTGTATATTTTTTCAACACATTCTCCATGTTAAAGTAACGCAAAATTTTAGCGGATCGTTTTAAACACGAAACTTCTTACTGTTTAGCAATAATTAACACGTTCGCTACCAGCGTCATGTGCGACAGCAAAATTTGTTTCCTATGTCCGCGTTATAAAATTGTTTTATGTAAAAAAAAAATCTATGTAAAAAAAACACGAGGTGATCTGTGGGGAGTTCCCCAAATAAATCATAGTAGCGAGCGTGTTAATTTTGTCACCGATGAGATAGTGATATTTTAGGACGAATGAAACGCGTATAATCGCAATATTAGTCGTTGCCTTTGAGGAAACGCGGTCATATTGTTTTTTGACCCATAGTGACCGTGTACAATACTCCGAGTTGCACTGGTCGGGTAAAGTTTGCCGTTGGTAAGACGTCGGAAGAAATATTAGCCTGGACGGAACCTTCCGCACAGAGGAAAGTTATCGCGAAGTTATGAGAGCCGTCAAACATATAAGTTAATGATTTATTGAGGAATTTATTTCATGAATCTAAGGTGACTGCGAGATACGTACTTTCTTCGGCGAGCGGACGTTGTTGTCGGCACACTCGGCTAGCCTTTCACCTCTTTCAGCCAAATACGAATGCAGTATCACGAGTGAATCTTACATCGTAACGACAAGTTCGTGTCGGAACGGAAATTCACATATGCCCACAGTATTTATACAGAATGTCTAAGGTATCATACGATTCTTTCCGTTCATGTTAAGAAGCAAAACGGTTTCTACCAAGACGAGGATAATCATATTTATTTCGAGCTTATATAAGTATACGTGCACGTCATCCCCGTGTGTCTTCCTTTTTTCTTTTTTATAAAAATTTAGACTTGTGTTTCAAATATTGAGATTTAATATTGAATCTGACGTGTTCAGTAAAATTTGAGTATCGCCGCGTGTATGTAAATACACGGAAAAAAATTAGTCTTAAATAAATGATAGATATTCTCATATATAAGCAGGAATATTATAATCTTCATAGAAAATGTTTAGTCTTGATTTGATTAAATTTATATCGATGCAAGTATTACTTGCACTCAATTCAAAACTAAAAATCTTCTAAGAATATTATAATATTCTTATTATATATGAAAATATCTATCATTTATGATTTAGACTATTTCTTTTTCGGTATATATTTAAACATGGAATTTACCCAAACATGGATTAAACTTGGAAACGAAACAATTTGGAACAAAATTAAATTTGAAAGAGAATAAAAAAATTCTTTATCGATCTCTACTCGATCTATTTCGTAAATTTGTATACGAAACATATTCAACAATATTGTACTCGCGCTTATACAAGGGGCTCGGCCATTTATTAACCGATCCAACAACTGTGTGATCCATCGTTAGAAAATTCCTGCGAACGAACGAGTAAAAGTTCTTACATTCGACCGATTTATGCCTCGATATTTATTATCTCTGGCTACTGCTTTGTTTGTCTCGCGTCGCGAACTTCGCCGATATTTGGTCAAGTTTCATGATCATATACGGCATGGATCTTAGCCGAGACGCGGGTCCTGGAAGGGGCTGGCGGATTCAGTCTGCAGCCAAGTCGCCCGATGGGAACATCGCCTAATAAACGATCTCGTAAACGTCGCGCCGCGAACGTCGCCGACGTCGAATTGGCTTGATACGGTATGACTTCTTCGACCCCGCTGCAAAAATAACGTTACCATTGCCGGAATAAAGTACTTCTTATAATATCTCATTTGTCTAGCTTTTGTGTATAAAAGATACCAATCTTTGTTCAGGTTATTTTCGATTTTGTCTTTCAATTAGAAAAATTAAAGTCAATATAGCATCTTGTATTTTAAAAAGAAGTATGGGCAAAAATGTATAAAACTGGGACGGGTGAAAGTAGATGTTTCAATAAGAAACACATATCAAGCATTTTACAATGTTGTTTGTATAAAGAAACTTACACGAGGCTTTATACGTAATTTTAGTTTGTCATTCGTGACATGTAAATAGCGGTAATCATAATTATAAAATCAATAAATAATTGAAACTAACAAATATTATACTCGAATGAAGTTTGTCATACATACTAAGTGAATTAAAATAATATCGTCAATACCGGAGACTTGATAAGGAGCAAAAAAATTAAGAATTTTTCAACGCAACGAAATGCATGTCTGGAGACCTCGTATTTTATCTTGAAGTAATCAAGTTGTGTCGCAAACATTAGGTCAAGTGAACTGTCAAGAATGTCCGACACAAATAGAGCGTTTGCGACACAATTTCGTTACTTTTTTACCTTAATACTTTCATATTAACTTTTAGATTGACAAAGAGCATATATTTATATAAAGAACAACACACGATATTATTAAAATAAAAGTCCTTCCTTTCTGAATACCCGGGTACCATGGTAATACCTACGAGTTTGGATATCCAGTCAGTATCCGTGAGTTTACTGCTCGGAATATCCATATTTAGAAATATTCTGTTTTTAGCATCACGTGTCACATGAATAACAAACCAATATCGTTCATAAATTATATCATTTACGTTTCAATACGAGCGGCATAGTCACATTATATATCTCTCGACGTGTTCACCAATACGCGCACCGAAAAAGGACCGTTGCATTGCGGGAGGACGCAGCCTCCCTTCGGAGCGCTCTACGGTCTCCGCGAAAATGAGAGCCAGCGCCATAATCGTAAACCAAGGTACATCTGCATGCGCGCTAACGAAAAGCCCATAAGTACGACTATGCCCTTCTGCTCGGGAATCCAGCAGGAAGCGCGCCAGAAAGAAAAAAATTAAAAAAGAGGGAAAAAAGCGAAAATCCACGGCCAGCCTCGTTAATATCCGATCCGCGCGGGGCGAGCCCGGCTCGTCGGAACGACAGACGACCGCCGGTGAATCGGGCGTCGGTGCACTTTTAATTGACAGGAATGTTTAGCGGTAATGAACGCGCGCCGAGTGGAAGGAGCGGAGGATAAGCCGGGAGCGTATACCCCGACGGTAGCCAGTAGTGGCGTAGTCGTCGTCGTCGTCGACGACGACGACGACAGGAGAGAAACAGCGCAGCGCCAGGGCCACGACTAGATAGAGACACGGCGGCAGGAGCATAAACATCCTCGGCCCCCGGTGGTGGCGGCTACAACGACGGCGGCGGCGGGGGTGCAGCGCGCACGTTCCGCACCGTGGGCGTCGCCGTTTGGTTCCTACCACGACGGCAGGGATGTTCTATGACGCTATAGATCATGCGGGCTCCGCCCACGGGCGGAGACTGCACGCCAGTTGGATACGTCAGTGCAGTTTGCCCCGCAGCGTTGCCAGTATCGCCGGCATTGCCAGCTCTTCCACCGGTGCCCGCCAAAACGTGCTAAACGGAGTCGAGAGAGAGAGAGAGAAAAAAGAGGGAGAGAGATACAGAGAAAGAGACAGCTCCGCGAATGCTGGATTATTTCTGGAAATATTTTCCTGGGAATTTTCGGGGTTTGAGAAGGACTCGGGGATGGAGCGGGGAAGGTGATGGTTCAGATATGACGAGCAAAGGTTTTTAAGAAGCCTGTTTGCTGGAAGATGTTTCCCGAACAAGTGCGTCAGATATAGACCGATTTTGTAAATTAATGCCGCTTTTGTGAGTTTTTCGACGTGACAGATTACCTGGTACTTTGCATACTTTGCATGTGTGCTTCGCACTTCTTTGTCGATTATCAATTCATCGGAATCTACAAGAATAGACGTTTCGCGAGCTGAACGGTGTCGTTTTGGAAAATCGCGTTCGCTGATATTACGTAAATTACGAAGACTTGCGCGATGACGCTCAAAGCAGATTATGCGTGTCTGAAAATGTAGCAACGTCAGATTATAATTTATAAGAACATTTTAGTAACATGGATTCTGCATCTAGTAGAGGGCAGTGCCAAGTTAGCTCGCGCTGCTAATAGCGTCAAGATTCCACTGAATGTTTTTCTCCTTTTAGGTTATATTTGCCTGCGCTGCGCAACACAGTGCATTTACTAAGTGTATTTTTAGTAACTGGACGATGCGACGTTTACTTCGCCGATATGTGGAACATTAGCTAATCACCGGTAGAGTTTAGTAGAACGTCGTCGTTTACCAGAAGCTACCTCTTCCGCTGGACACAGCTAGACCTCGTACTACCTATTGTACGCTTTTGAGGTTAAGTTAGGTTAGGTTTCGAAATACTTAAAACACGCTCGACAGCCGGGCTTGCAAAGCTAGCCGCGAATTACGATCCTCGGCCGCTAAGCGGCAATGTCGCTCGAGTACTCACCTCAATCAGCGACACCTCGGATACGGTTTAATCAGCTAGAATGTCGAGAGACCCTCGGTTTCGCTCCACGTCGCCGTAGCACCGTAGCAGTTGATCGCGCGGCGGCGCCCCTAGCGGCGGCAGTCGGAGTCACCCGGAGCTAAAACGACGTCTCCCCGTGCACCTCCCTCGCGGGCCGATATAGTCCGCGGCCCCGCCCCCTTTTTCGACCTCCCCTCGTGCGCGCGAGCGCGACTACGGTCACGCGGCGCTCTGCCGGGTCTTCTCGCCTTCGGATCGCCTTTTCCCCCGTTTCAGTTTCCCGCATAGTTTCGGCCCCGGAAAAATTTCGCAGTGCGCGAAAGAGCCGCGGGTAAGCGAGGAAATTCGCGGGATTCCCCCTCGACGGCGGAGGCGCGTGGGTGCCACGTCACGGCCACGTTGCAGCGGGCAGCACATCCGCCAGCGTCTGGTGCATCCGCAGACGAGAGTGGCTGGCTTTTGCGCCGCCGCCGGCGAGCCCCTCGCGCCGCGTCGCGACCCGTTGCGTCGCGTCGCATCGCGTCGCGGCGCGCGTGTATAGGTAAACCCGAGAGAACGACGGAGGACAAGGCACACGGTCTCTCCTCCCCCACGGCTTCGCTCATTCACTCGGTACACTTCGCCTCTCGGTGGATGTCCCTCCGTCGATCCCTCCCTTCCTCCCCGCACCCTTCTCCCACCTTCCTTGTGCGCGGCCCCGCCGGTTGCCTCGTTCGCGGATCGCGCGCCGCGAACGCGGCCGCGGAGGAGAGAAAGAACGAGGGCGACGGAAAGCGGGAAGGAGAGGTCGAGAGAGAGAGAGAGAGCGCGAGTGAGGCCAGCAAGGAAGAGCAGGCGAGCGAGGAAACGAGAACGGGCGGCGGAGGAGGAGGAGGTAGAGGAGGAGGAGGAGGGAAAGAGGACTACTACTACTACTCCTGGGGTCCCCCCACCACACGGCCTGCCGCCGCGACGCCAGTCCGTAGTCAGTCAGCGCTGGACCGCCGCCCGCTCGATTTCGCGATCCACGAACGACGGTAGCCTCCACCTCCACCTCCTCCCCGCTTCTTTTCCGCTTGCTGCACTCTGGATCTTTCTCTCCCTCTCTCCCCATCTCTCTCTCTCTCTCTTTTTTCCTCCTGTCGTTTTTCACCCGCGCATCTCTTTCCTTCTTCTCTTTCGTCCGTTCACTCTCTGTCACCGCATTTTCTCATTCTTTATCTATTGCATGTGTTTCCTCCCGCTTGTTCTATTACCGTCTATCTGATTATCCCTTTTTCTCTCTCTCTCTCTTTCTCTCATTCTCCTACCCTTTCTCCCACCCCCTCTTATTCTCTCTCTTTCTACCTCATCTTTCTTTCTATATTTTCCTCTCTCTCTCTAGCTTGAGATCTTTTGGTACTCACATACGCACACCGTGCGCGCCTCGAGTGGACGCGACACGTTGTCGCGGATCACACGTTGCAAAGAGGTTATCGCGCGATTATCGCAGGATCTGGCCGATCCAGCCGCGAGATAATCCGCTGGCGCGATCCCGATCAACGGTCGTTGAAGAGCGTCGCGTATTGGTGTGAACGGCGACCGGTTGGGAAAGTGACGAGTGACACTGATGATTGCTTGCAGAGAGAAGTGGTGAACCAGGGGTTGGTGCACGTTTCGGAGTAGGTTGCTCTCTCCGGTACCGCGGGACCGACAATATCATACGCAATTCAGTGTACTGAGATCATCCGTCAATTCCGACAGAGGATGGTACAGTGACGATAGTCGTAGAATATTCATTAAGCGACCGTCAGCACGTTGACGCCGTGAGTGACGACTCACCGACATCGGTTGCTCCGACATGGCGGCGCGAGTACAAATGAGTTCGCGATAGTGACAGAAAGGGATCTGAAACTCTTGGCGTTTCCAGTCACGATATACGATACACGAGATTGTCGATTTCCGCGCGAATATACGAGTACACGCACAGGTGTGCCGCGCGAGCTCCGGATAGGATGACGATGATCGCGAGGATCGCGCCGCTGACGACGACAAGCGGCTCGTCGGCGATCGCGATGAGGTAGTAGTGATTGTAGGGACACGTGGGCCGCACGGGTGACCGCAAGTGTGTAACGGAAGAGGAGGAGGACTATATCGCAGGTGGTTATCCCGGAGGGAGGTAGTCGGAGGATACTCCGGCCGGCCTGACCTGACTTTTGGGGACCGACCGATCGCAGCCAAGGCAAGGAGAACTGGAGGCCGCACGGATAATCGAGCATCCCCGAAGGACGCAGATGCCCCGAAGGAAACAGCACGCACCGCAACGCATGAAATGTGAGTCGTCAGTGGCAGCGCGATGTTAACGGCGACGGTGGAAGAAGTCGTTGACCGACGAGGTCCGTGACTTTTTCAATTACCTGAGCGATCGGAAACGATAGTTGCTATGTTGCGAGAGATGTGTGGAAAAATCGTAATCGGTATAAACTGTCATCCGGACTCGATATCCGCGTCTTTTGCCGTCTTTCGGGGCGAACGGAGTTACTCGCGAGTGACGAAGTCCGATGCGAGAGAGGCCGGCGTTCCACCGTCGCTGATTCGTCGACGAGCTCGCGGAGCCACGTGGAATACCACGTGGAATGCCGCGTGATTTCGGGAGTAATCGCGGCCAATTCCGCGCGCGGGATTATCCGTTGATTTCCCGATCCGGATAATCCGGATGCTCGGCGGGATGTTTGACGCACGCTGAAATCCGATCGAACTCGACGATCGTCACCACGAGGAGGCGTCACGCTCAAGCGAAATTCTCGAGGCGCGGCTGCGACTCGCTGCGTCTCCGCAGCGCGTATTTATGGATTAATCAAAACGAAGAAAATGTCTGCGCGATCGTAAGGGAGCTTCCATCAAGCCGTAGAATGTCTTTTACTACCAATTTAGCGCTCGCGCGCGTTTCCCCTTGCCGGAGTTCCTAAGTTACGCCGCTGTCGCGCACGATGGTGGAAATTATCGTGCGCGCGACAACTTTTAACGCGACGACTCGAGAAATAGGAAATATCTTTTTTTCGACGCTAGTCGCGTCATGTGTGCTGTGGCGCGCCAAGTTTCGACCAATTCAAACGCGCGTCTCGCGTTTTTCTCTTTATCGATCAAACTTCTCGGGAACTTTCTCGTAAAAGTGTGTCGACATGTATCTCAGCCTAAGGTTCAAATAGAACATTTTATAATAAATATCGATTAATTTGAGTATGAAGAAGTTGTGCGAAAAAGAGGCATCAAGTATGTAAGTCGGTGAGGTCAGATTTTTTAAGATACTATTAAAGTAAGAATTAAGGCAAATATGGGCATATACGGAGATTTTTTAACTGTATTTTTACATCGTCACTTTTGCGGTTAATGTACAAGACGCGATAAAAATAATTCCAATTTGTAGAATTATATAAAACACTTTACTTCTCTCTCTCTCTCTCTCTCTCTCACACACACACACACACATAGGTTATTCTAAAAAAATGGACAACAAGATAATTAATAATGACAGTTATTAAAACGAAAAAAAAATTGGGACGCAATGGCTGCAATGGCTCATATTTGCAACCCTTACACCATCCCCTATCAAGACATAATATACATACAAAATCGCTATAACACTTGATTTATTTGAACATTTCGTCGACTAATTTAGTGGATTCGAATATATGGCAATTAATCATGTATAAAAATGGTACTCTTATTTATTAGTCGCACGCATAGTTCGGATATTGCAAAAGTCGCAAGCAGATGCAATGTCTGGACATGTGTACGAGAGAATTAAATACCCTTTTGTTAAGAAGGTTGCAAGGCTCAGTGTCATATTTTTTAGTGGCGCATTAAGGGGACCACTCATAAATTTAATTTAATATTTATCAAGCAAAATTACTTTTCTATACATTTATTTTACCACCTAAATGATAAATGTTAATTTGAAACGAAGTTGAGATAAACGTGAATATACACAGTATTACAAATACGACAATATTATTATATTTTATTCATCTTATTAATGTGTGCTATATTTATCCATTTGATCTAACAAAAATGCACAGATATAATAGAAAAAGGTATATAAGTTTTAGTAATTTAAAAGAATTATGTGTATAAGTTAAATATCTGCATACGTATGTATATTTCGAGTATTACTATAAACTATGAACTTTACGCTGTATTTTCAAATGGAAATAGTCAGTAATCTTGAAATATGTGCATATGATGTCTGCATGTAGTCTTTAATATTATAACAGTTTTTTATCAAAGTCTTATTTTTAGTTTAGGAGACGTTAAAAATAGCACGCTTATCTTTCAAGGAACACGTATAAAAAGTATCAACGTTACTTGCAGACACCTCAGCTCTCGAACGGCCAATCTCTTCCCGATTGCAGAAGCTGTTAGATTGTGTTTCAGTATATGTACGTGGCGCGAGTTTCTCCAAATTCTGATTAAACTCACTTCGCCTTGCAACCTCCCTAAGGCGTTAAACAGCCGTCTATCGCCGAGGCGGGTAAAATCTAGCGGGTAAAAACGCAGCGCTCACCCCTCGGTCGAGTCCGAAGACCGGGCCGAAGGCGAGCACGCCATTGCGTTGTATCTGCCGACAGATGGGCAGAGCGGCCGCGTCAGGCCGAGGCGATTTGTGCGTTTGAGGCCGTGACGCGCGCCATGCTGCCTTTCCCACGTGGAGAATCATGAGGCGTAAACAAACTCGCCCCCGCCGGTGGCGTAGGGACCGCCATCTTGGTGAAGTTGTGCCGGAAACATTTACAATTCACTCAACTCGCCTTACCGAAACTCGGCCAAGCGCCGATAAATCTCGTGCGCCCGCGCGGCGCGGCGCCGCGGCGCACATGCCCCCCCCCGACGCCCGCCGCGTACATAAATTCGCGGCAGTCCGCGGAGCTTCACTGCCGTGTGTGCTGCAGTTTTTCGCCGGTTCCGGCGTTCGCAACGACGTCTCCAGGAATCAGTTACGATCCCCTCGCTAATTTTGCCCCGACCCCCCGTTAACGTTACCCGTTACCTCCTGTGTCGGTGTCGCCCCTGGAAATTGGTTTCAACGGCCACCTTCCCCTCGGGGAGCATCGCCGATCAGCGGACGTCGTGAGAG